GAACCAACTGTGACTCATGCTCTGCTTTTGTGTAAAAATGGAAGGCAGATATGGAAATTAAAGAACGTGGACCACCACTGTGACCAGACATAAGGCCTGGGCTTTTTTTTTGACCAGACAAATGCCAAAAAGAAGTTTTTCAGTCTAGGGTTCTAGTTCTATCTTGTCCACAAATCTGCTTGTGGCAAGGCTCCGACAAACTAATCTGAACACATATTAAACAAAGTGCTAGACAGGTAAGGGATAAAAGGCAGCATTCCACAGGGTTTTTTCTTATTTTCCGATACTTAAAAATTAGCAGATGCTCTGAAGCTTAAGCTTTTAAATGCATTTCAAGTTTGTTGTGGTGGGTTTTTTTGTAGTTTTTTGTTTGTTTGTTTCTAATGGAAATTGTAAATACGTGTTTCAATGAAACCTACAGGTGCATTTTATTTCAGTATTTCTGAACAAGCCCTTTTTACTGTTTCAAAAGTATAATGTTCTTGTATTTAGAAAAAAAGGATGCATGAAATCCTGATGTGCATTCTCTGTACTCCTACTGTTACTTTTATTCCTTTTCCTACTTGTGTAGTTCAAGCAGCTACTGTACACAGAGGTCCTATGGCACTTTCCATAATGATATTAAACACTATCTTGCTTTCCCTTCTCCCATCATCCAAAATTTATATAGAAGTTCAAAAAACATTAACATAGTCTCTAAGTGGGAGTGATAAAGTCATGGCAATGATTTCAATCTGAGGTCATATCTTTTGCTTCATACCCCATATGGCAGCTCCAACATTTGAAAGAACAAAAGGAAAAAGACTGAGTGTGTGTAACACTGGTCTGATCACTGCTAACAAACCTCTAAAACCAAAGTCTGGAATAAAATAACAAGAAAACTGAAACAGTGTCTTGTTTTACTCCAATTCCCACAGAGAGATTTGTCTGACTACTCTAATGGACTACTACTGTTTTAACACAAGATTTGCATTAATCCAACAGAGACACAGAAATAAACTACCAGTTTCTGGTATTTTCCCACTTCACATTCACTATCCCATCTTCAAATTTAACAAAGTATCCTCAGAAGGCAAATTATTTTAAGTTCCATTTCAAAAACAAGTCCTTTCATCTACAAATTTAAAAGAACAGCTAAAATCCCTTTAATGGTATTTGATACATAAGCTTATTTGTGGAAACTTGTAGCAATGATTCCGAACTTCAACTGGTTCTAGGAAATTTAATTTATAGAAAAAACAGATGCTGTTCTACTTCATCAACTCCAGACACTCAGAATGCATAGCTGATCTGCTTCCTACCCAGATGTTCTTGGACTATCAAGAAAACATATTAACTTATCTGGAAGGTGTAAGAAAAAGCAGTAGGATCTGTGGAGAATGATCAACGGACAACAGCAGAAACTATTAAAGACAAAACAGTCCAAAACACAGGCTTAACCTGACAGTCCTATTTTCTTAAAGAAATAACCTTCTAAGAATGGGGGGGGGAGGGGGGGAGGGGGAAGAAAGCACTTTGAAGACCTTACTCTGAGGCCTGCAAAGGCACTGAGAAGGTAGGACAGCACATTTGTACCAGATGCTCCGCTCAACAAAGAATCCTGCTGACACAGACCGAAGGACCCTCTGCCCCATCCCCATTGCTTTGATCCCATGTCATCTTTTATGATTGCCTGCGCCTGGCATGAGAAGACCCTACTTTCACACTTAGTTCTTTCCTGGATTTTAAAGTCTGTGAATTCTAACACAAAACTGTTCTAAAATGAAATACACAGACTTGGAGGATCAACATCTGAGCCACAAGACTTCATTGCCACTTAAGCGGTGTAGCTGAAGACCTCAAGGCCACTTCACAGATGTTAGATTTAAGTCTTGGAACAAAGTTCTCATCGTCAACTCTGACCACTCAGGTTTTAGACCCAGCCTACTCCACAGCAGGTATTCTGACACAGACTCCTATCTGATGCGTTACTCTTAAATGCCTGCTCTAAAAAAGCATCCATACTAACTCCATCCTTTTTTTTTCCTGTTTAAAAGCATGAATGCAATACCCAAATTCCCCTTATCATTTAAGTCAGTAGATGTGTCTGCCTAAAACAATTTCTTCAAACTAATCCTCTTTCCTTTAGCTTTTCTAGCCGCATTAATGGAAAATTCCCAGCACTACTTAAAAATATATTTAAAAAGGTACATGCACACCTATTAGAGAAAATAAAGATGAATGCAAAGCTTCCATCTGATGAGGAACATACAGAGCCATAAGGGCTGTCTTTCTGGAAGATGGAAATTCAGAAGCAATAAGGGCAAAGACTCTTCAAGCTTTTCATTTCTGAACACTGGAAGAGAAGCGTGTGTTTGCACATACCACTCAGCGTTATTGTTTTCAGTGGTTCTTCAGACTGGTGAAAGTGGTAGTATCAAGGAAGAAATTAATTTCTCCTTCATTCTCAATCAACATTAGTAACACCGTAATAACCTAAAGCTTCACCATTACAAAGATTCATTCACCTAGGACTGCTTCTGAAAGTGTTAGTAGTCAAAAAATAGTGACAACCAAGCCCTTATATTAAAACACTGATATGGTGAGTATGGTGATCCCCAGGGGGGAACAACTCAATAGGAATTTCAACCTATATTAACCACAGAAAGGTAAACTTCTGAGTCATTCACATGCTATTTAGGGTCACAGCACATACTTGTTGAGGCTTTCCACATGATAAATAAATGCAAGGCTCAGTAAGTTCATTGTCGAACAGATTTGTTTCTTTTTTACTGGAGTGACTTAAGGAGGTCACAAGTGAGAAAGCAAGAGGAACAAGATTTTGTATTCTCTCAGCTCAAATGATAAAAACATAAACCACAATACAATGCGTACAACTTAAGATTTCAAGGAAAACTCCTTCAAGCTCACCAGCAGCCAGCAGCTTGTCTCTATTTGCCATCACTCCGGATCAGAAGAGCCCACATGCCTTCCCCCGCCCTTTCCTTTCCTGCCCCTTTCAGTTACACTTGAGCTCTTTGACTGAAAAGGTCTGGAACAGATTAAAAGTCCGACCACAAAATAAAGAGTCTTGGCATATACTCAAGCCTGTCTGGGATACACATACGCAGTGGGCCCAAAAAGGGAAGCTATGCAGCAAGAAACTCTTATGCAGCCTTTTGGACATTTCTAACTTCTTTCAGTTTAACTGCACATCCTGAGCATTCGATGCATTTCAGTACACTCAAGACAACTAGTTTTTGCCTTTATGGTTAGACCATGCTATTTACAGGAGCACAAAACAGTTCTGAGAAATAAGATTCATCTCACTCATGGCCTCTGACAATTAAAGCCTTTTCCACCCTCTGTTTTAATTCCAGCTCATCATTGGAAACTATAAAGTAATACAAGAGAAGAAAAATACATACCCTGCGAGATTACTTCAGTAAATATAATTGACCTGCCTCTTTTAACTGCAGAAGGCAATACTGATTTTCAAAATGACTGCTTCCTTTTCAGCCTTATTCACACATGAAGTAAATGTGAAGTTGCAAGTGTCCCACACACTCCTCTCGCAGCACACAAACAGGGCTGCATCCCCAGCTGATGTTAAAGCCAGTGTGGACATTTGCCAAAGCTGACAACCTTCAGCATACGCCCCACCTTTGAGCTTGAGTCACACAGTGGTTCAACCTGTTTGCAAACTGGTGAGTGGTTTATAAACACAGTGTGACAGTCTGGTGTGCTCCCTAAGAGCAAACGGATGTTTAAAGTAGGCACTTGAGCCTACAGAACAAGAATGCTGAAATTTCTAACAGCCACTGCAGAAAAACAAAACAGAACAGCGACTGGGGAGTTGTGCAGTTGTGTTTATATGGCGTTCATGGAGTTAATGCCTCTCCCAAAAGCGGCCGGCAGTTGTTGTCAGGTCAACCCCTGTAAAGCTTCAAAGGCTTTGTATCCCCTCAGCCTGACCTACTCACTGATCTGCACACTGTTTTCATTTAGTTGCACCGAGTCCAAAACTAAAGCCTGAAAACCACAATGATCTTTTTTTTTCTTCACCTCTACTGTTTTTTCCATAACTCTAGAAAAGTAACTTAAGTCCAAAGGAGTTGAAAATAGTAACTTCATGGGAAACTATAGGGCAAATTAATACAGCTAATAAAGCTTACACAGGTGATGGCTTTATACAAAAACTGAAGTTGCAGTACCACCTTCAGTACATCAGAACAGTCACTTGGACAACCTAAGAAACCAGTATAGAGTCTCTTAATATTATATGCTATTGCTATTTGTAGTCATCAGTGCAATATTTTATTGAAATGTTTGCAGCTCTGCTTTTCACATAGATCTAAAACGTTACAAAAATGAGGTATCGGTTCCATTTTGTTAAATTTTTACATCTAGAACTTGTGATCCCTAATTTACTATTTCTATTTCCAATACTACACAGTCTTTACCCCACAAAGATTATTAAAGCAGAAACAGCAAAACTAATAATTTCTCTCCACACTGTTTGAAAACAAAGTTTTGTCATGATCATCACTGTGACAAGCTGGAGTTATAAGCTGGTATCTGTTTCAAGTGAATTTCAACAGCAGAAATTATTATTTGACAATGCCCTCTTTCGGATTGTGCAAAGGAAAGCATGTATCTGTGTTGGAATGAAATGATTCTTCTGTGGTAAAGTTTTGCAATTTTAAAGGGAAGAGTGAGCTTGGCTGAAACTGTCCCTAGGTAAGTAATTTCTGAATGCCACCTATTTTGGAAACCATATGGATCGTATGGCAAAATCTCAACCCTTAGCATTAGAAACTTCGGTGACATACACTCCTACAGGATATATGTTAATCTTTATCTTTCTTTTTTTTTAAAAGTAATTATTTAAATAAGGTCTCTACAATTCAAATTAGAATATACTGTAATTGCACTATAAAAAGTTTGCAAAATATGCCTGCAAAATTAAAGCTGAGTGAACTGAAGCGAATCAAAAATTCTGAAGCGAGATGAACTTTTACCAAAGCGTGGGTCAAGCCTTGGGTCTAGCCAAGATGTGGTCTTGTTCTTATGGTTTATGTAGTAAATTTCTCCATCCTGGGTCATAGCTTGTTCCCATCCATCGGGGAGTGGGCCTGCAATATAGAAGGAAGGAGTTGATGGCGGGCTCTTGTGTGCTCCAGCTGAAATTGATCTACAAAAAACGCCAACATTTTAAATATGTAACAGTACATGAAACAGAAGAGTTTCAGGCTTATGTCTAATGTTACTGGGATAAGGGCGAAGAAGTGGTGGGTGGGAAATCAAAGAACAGAAAGCACTTCTATCATTTTGATTTAGGACTTGGGAGTTTAATTTTATCACTTGTTTGCATCCTTCCATATGCTTTCGACAGTTCCTTTTGCTATAGCACTATAGTAGAAAACCAGCAATAAGTCAAGCCTGCCAGAATGAAACCAGCATGAGCACCAGAAAAAAGAACAAGCATAGAGATATTCTAACTTTCATGGGAAAGTTCAGCTAGTGGTTAAGGCCCAGCAGCAGCAGCAAGGTAACACTGCTGAGATCCAGAAATATGCCTCTCTCTTTCACAAGTATTTTTTTTTAAGTTACAAAAGTAATTATCCCTTTACCTCAAACCATAACCTTCTGTGAAAGCATTAAAGGCTTAAGCAAGCAAAACCACAAACCTGCAGAACAGGAGGCAAACAAGCAACGAAGAAGGTAAGAAAACACCAGGAGCAGACAGACACACACACAGTGCTGCAAACAGCAGTGCTACACCTCTACAAGCAGGAAGGCACAGGCAGGGAAACCTACATTTAGGAAATGGTAAAAGGGAGGTAGCTGATGGTGTTCTGGAGTCCAGAGCTCATGTCTAAACATAGTCTTGCGATGTGTCTCCCTTTCAGGAACACCACCACTTCCATTGCTATACGGTTCATAAACCACTCATTCCCATCTCTACGTGATCATGTACGTTCATCTATATTTTGCTTAGACTGAAAACTGTTTTTAAAGCTACTGTCATCTCTTTTTATCTGTCAGGTACTTTACAAATGTGTGTTTTAGAATTCTTATAGTCATGTAGATATGGACTTTTAAGAATATCTACATTAGATACAGAAGGGTCTTGCTTGTATTTCTGTAGATTTAAGTACAATTTTAAAATGATATAGCAAAAGATGCACTACAAATGTTAAAAATGTAAGAGAAACTAGAAGAAGACCTGCTGCAAGAAGCAGCATATTTGAACCTTTTCCACTCTTCCCCAATGTAATATAGTAATACAGTAGCAAAAGCCATCTGGCTGTTAGACTTGGACTAACAGACCATTCTGTATAATCTAAGACACACTATGGACAAACATCACAATTTCACACATGAGATTCAGATATACAAACAAAAATACATGTGTGTGTGTGTGTATCTGATAAATGCCTGAAGTAGCTACTCTATTTGTGCTCAAAGTACCTTAGCTCTTTGCCTGTCATTTTGCCTAAAGTGATGCTCCTGTTGAAGAATTCACTGTCTAAAGTTGGGAGGGTGAGGAGATAGATTTGTTTGCTTAATCTCAAAAGATGTTCTTGGAGAAATATCCAAAAGATTAAAATAATCATTCAGTTGCATTCCAGTAACATCCTAAGGCAAGAATTTCTTACTGTAGTCTTTGAAGATCCCCTGCAAACTACATTTCTAATCTGTGCTTTCATTTTAGCTCAGGAAACTATGCTTTTCTCTCACAAACTCATTACTGCACCACTAGAGTTACAAGGTTTTGAGTGAGGAAAAACAAGTCATCTAACACCATTGGCCATTTCCTTCCTGTCTTTAATGCTCACAAGCTTTAAATGCTGCATACGAGTAACAAGAGTAATTCAGCTTTTATCAGAAAGTAGTGAACAGAACAGACAAGAAAGAATGATAACACTGCAAAACATTCATAAATCCCAACAAACTCACAGTATAACGGGACTTTGATGCAGAACTGACAGCTCAAGTGCAAAGAACCCTGTACTTTGTTACCATACTCAAAGACCGAGCAGCTAATCCGTGAGATGCTATTTTATCAAACTGGGGCACAGGAGCACAGTGACCCATCCCACATCATCAAAGTGGAGAAGCCAATGAAGAACCACAAGTAACCCTAGGCCACCACCCTAGCCACATGAGCAGACCTCACTACTATTCTCCTCAGAGTCCTTCTGAGCCACACGTCCCTCAGAGACAAAACACAGCAAGAAATTATCTTTTGAACTGCGAAGTCAAAACCCCAGCTGGCTCCAGGAAAAACAGAAGCAGCCCTGGGGTTCCAGT